ACTAAGCTCAAAATCTCCCATTCTCCAAAACGCAACCCACTACGCATCAAAGCTTGAAATTTCAGGTGGACGCTAGACCATGAATTTTGTATAAAGTCTAAATTTTTTTGTACTCCGAATAAGTTTCGAGTTTGCATTCCAGAACTTCAGCTGCGAGAAGTCAAGAAATAAATTGACTTTATTTCTGATGCGCATAGAGCAGCGATATATGTGTTTTGGAGATGTTGACGCAACCCAATCGGTAAGAAAGTCAGACGCAATTTCCCATCCTCAGCAGCCCACCAAATAAAAGAGGCATCTTGAAGGTTCATACTGACACGACAGTATAAACTTTCGTAATTGAGCTATAAAGTCCCGAAGTATTCTTTAATCATAGTCAGCTGCTATACAAAGCTATACATGCGTGTTTGCATCTAATTCTATATGCGTAAGGCATTTATTTTTCGAGATATAGTATAGATAGGACACAACCCGCAGGAAAAGACATTTAAAGAAACCTCCTTTAGTATCCAGCTGAAAATTTATGGTAAATGCAACCCACAACATTCTAGAAGCATCGTTGGTTGAAGATTCGTCCATTGGACAATCCTGGACAATCCTCTGGGCAAGGTGGTAACAACTCAATGGCTGGGCGCCGTATGATGGGAATATTCTGTGAACTGGATCTTTATATTTTACATAAGCGGAGTTTCGGATAAGAGACGGAATCAGAGATATGCAGGAATAACTGGGCGGGCTGAATAATTATTTAGCCTCATAAAAAAGACTCATGTGGCTACTACACAAAACGTGTGTATTTCAACCTAAATAAACAAGTCAAGAATCGGAAACCTGATGAACGTTGCGAAGGTGTGATCGACGAAGCAATCACACCTTCAAGTGATAATACACGGAATGCAGACGTGAGGCCTTCACGACCGTGCAATGGTGCTCTTGATTTGTATGCGGCAAAGGAAACTTTGCAGTAACAGTCCGATTGTTTTAAGTGTTATGCCTAACAATCACTTTGTAGAGCTTGTACGGCGTGGATTGGAGGACCGCTCGAAGCCTCCTTTACAGTCTCTGGATATCAGAGGTCAGGTCAAAGGACCTTCACACTAGAGTTTCGTATGCAAGAGGTCTTTATCATTATAAAGAATGAACAGTAGTCGAACGTGCGGAGTGACAAGCAGTGTGAGGCATGCATTTAATTATGTTGCTTGCTAAAGAAGTCATCACGGATTCAACTGGGTCCAAGCCCGCACATCATGGTCGTAAGCATTAATTAGCTGCCTGTCTGGCGTCAGGATTGACAGCACCGCGTCGTGCGAAGACTGACCGATCCGTGCAACAAACATGCGGTAGCTTCTACCTCGCCATACATTGCGTCAAACACGTCCTGGATACTGGCGCACTTTATTTCAGGTCATTACAGCTGCAATTATCTCTTACGAATTCGGGTAACATATAAACCGTCAATACATCGGATTTGGTACGATACTTCCATTAGACGCAACTATCAGCTGACTGTTAATAGTAAAACGACCGCCATAAACGATGAATTATAATGACAATTGCGGCTGGTTACTAGACTGCACGATATTTTACTAGTCGCCACGTTCGGGCCATTTTATTGGAGGGTGAGCCAGTGAGGAAATATCGATGCCGAAGGTCACGTTGTTAATTTTACAACGATTTTGATCTCAATTTAGCTTTTAACGTTCAAACCACCACATTTAAAAAGCCAAGCACCCTTGTATGTTTCGTTTACTTTCGTGTAGTCAGTTTCTAACGTACATGCCTCAGTTTTAAGTAATATTTACTGCAACCTGTAGCGGGGTTACACGTACCCTGGTAACAGGAATGTGTGTCACACGAGATGTGTGTGGCTACCTAGCCAGTAGTTATGCATGTATTTAGATTTTCCTAAACTAAATATATATAGTAAAACCTAAGCTTTTAAAATTAGGATAAAAAAAGGAGAATAAAAAAATGCCCGAACTTTTGCCATATACAAACTACCTACCCATTAGGTTCGATCCAAGGACCTTTGCTTGTATTTTGCTAGCGCTCTACCATCTGAGCTAATGTGGGACCTGGTTAGAAGTCACGTATTATTTAATTTAGCTTTAATTGGTTAATATTAAATTGAATGGTTATAGCA